AGTAGAAAATACACCTGGACCGGTCTTTCTGTCTTTTTCCTGTTCTCTCAAACCCAGCCGATCGAGTCGGGTCGAGGCAGATGGTCGCCTGTCCTGTGCCTGGTTCTGCTGGAGGTTTCTTCCTATTAAAAAGGGAGTTTTTCTTTTCCACTGTTGCCAATGTGCTGCTCAGGATGGGAGCCTGTGACGAAGTGGTTCAGCACAATCTGCTAGCTTTCTTAGCTTGATTGGTCTGTGTACAGTTCCCTGAGATGGACATTTGTTGTCACTTGGCGCTATACTGAAGCAGAATCCTCTGCAAGTCTCTCCACATGTCTGCCACGTTTCTACATTTGGTATTGGTGTTTTTAAAGTACTTACACGGGAAGTTGTTTGTCTGTTGCCGGAGAAGAAGTGTTTAGGCTTTTCCTCCAGGTGAGAACAGCTGCTTCCATCTCCTCCTCCGAAACAACACGCTCACCTTCCTCATTCTAACCAGAAGCAGAGACATGAGACCTGATCATTTATATTTCACAAAGATTAGGTTAAGACTGTCTAGAAAATGTTTCTGCTTTACAATATATATATATTTTCACACAGGGAATACACCTCAGAGCACAAAGCCAGAAAATATGGTAAATGTTAAACCACAGATTCTTAACCTATGGGCCGCGGCCCAATTGTGGGCCACGAGCGCCACCTTGAGGGCCTCAAAAGAACAACAGTTTTTAACTTTGGGCAGTAGAGGGCCGTGGGACCGCATTGATTTTGAATAAAGTGCAATACACCTTCTCACCACTAGTAGCAGTAGTGCGCCACTTAGTTGTTCAACTTTTTTAAATACATAACAGAAGAAGAACCTTAAAAACCTGCAGAGAATGGAAACCCATTTTAAATGAAAAGTAGAAGCAAAAATGAAAGTAACTTGTCAAAAAACACCAAAGTTTGACACTAATATGAAGTGCAGCTTATGTTTTTACCATGCAATATTTTAAAAGTTCAAAACATTATCAAAAATACAGTTGCTGATACAAATATATTTTAATTTGCACTTTAAATTAATTTTTGTAGTTTATTTTTAAACATTTTGAATGTATTTTAAAGAAATTTTAAACTTGTCAAAAAGCTGTTGTTACTGTTATTGTTTGTCACTAATATGAAGAGCAGCTTCTGGTTGCAAAAGTTTAAAAAGGCTATATTTTCATTTGTACTTTGTCAAATTTATTTTTACAGGGTTTTTTTATTTGAATCATTTACATTAAACTGTTTAAATTTATTTTATACTATTTTATTTTTTGAATTGTCTATTTTTGTTATTGTTTATATTAAAAATATAGATATATTTGTGTTGATAAGCCTGAGTGGTCTTTTGACTGACCTTTGTATTTGTTCAAATAATTGTTATGGGCAGGTTACAATATAAAAATGTTTGTCATAATCATGTCTTGTGATTATTTGACAGGAGTTTTACTTTTAAACTGTAAGTGTATTTAATTTAGTTATGATAGGTTAGCTATGATGAAAACACAATACTAATTAAAAATTATTATTTTGATCCATACATTGTTAATGTCTGACTGGGCCTCGTGCCACTTTATGTTCAACAAATTGGGGCCCGAGGTCAAAAAGGTTAAGAACGCCTGTGTTAAACAATACATTGATCATTTTGACATCTACCATTTAAAATCTAAAATAAAAGATTGTTTTGCCCCAGTAATCCCATGAGAACATTTTACTTAAGTGTAGCTACTGTAAGCATTTAAGTTCCACAAATGAATACTGTTCAGTGGGAATGCTTGAAGTCTAACAGTTTAAGTGATGATCTAGCAGATACCTCAGCAGGGCTGCTGTTGCATGGCTGTGTGTCTCTGCACTGGCTGCTCTGTGGCGCAGGTTGCTTCTGCATGTAGCTCTTCATGGCCTGCAGGCCTTTTCCCTGAAGCACTTTTTGAGCAGCAGACTGACAGCTGTGCATAACAGCCACACGGTCAAACCAAGCCCTAACAGACACATGCTCGCCTGATGGGGAAAGAAAAACGAAGGCAAAAGAGGCAGAAAATGAATGTAAAATACTGCAAGAAAAAAAAAACTTGAATTGAATTCAACAATATGTGAAATAAAAGCCAATAAAAAAACTGCAAGAAAAAAAAGCGATGCACTTACTCAGAGCTAAAGAGGAGTCAGATAAAACAGGGTGCAGCGCCCCCCAAATAACAACATCAGCAACCGAAACAGCTTCCTAAAACACAGAATAAATGAGTTAATAATACTTCTACTTCTAGTTGTTGCAAAATAATTAGAATAGCATTAACTGAATATACATGACACTTTACCCCAGTTAAAAATGGCATAGTCCCCTTGCTCAAACTTTGGTCTAAAACGTTCAGGGGACTCTGAAGGACCCTGGACACCTCTGAACCTTTTCCCTGCAGCACTGCCATATGAAGAGTCTGTAACAACGCAGGCTGTGAAATGAAGAATAAATAGGAGTTTATTTAACTGAATGGCATTAGATGCAGATGTAAACAAAAAGTGACTGAAGTTAAATAGTGCACACAGTAGGACAAAACATTTAAACTTTCTGTATGTTCATAAATTTTAATCATTCAGTTTGCGTGTATTTACAATATGTCGGCTTTGAAACATGCTGAGACAGTAAGAGGATTCTGAACATTGGCATTTGTTGAAAGCACTTTAAAAAACAGCTCTATTGTTTTGTACTGACTGCCTGTAAACAGAAAGTTCAGGCGATTTATGAAGAGTTTACCTGAAGAACTGTGATCTCCCATTCAAGCCACTGGTTACAGAGATCGTTGCATTCTTGTCCATTTGCTTCAAAAAAGTATCTAAGTGATGGAAAACAGAAAGACAAGTCCTGTCAAAAACGTACTGCTCAAAGCTTAAATAAATCAAATCAATGAACATTTGAAATCCATTACAGTCTACATCATAAAATTAAATCTTAACTCTATTAGTTTCATGTAGAACAGCTTGATTTTTCTAATTCAAATATAGCTACCATTTAAAATAAAAACATCAAATAATAACTTTTTAGGTTTTTAGATACCCACCACAAGTTCGACCGAAAAAGTACTTAAGATCAGAAAAGTTATGTCTTATAAAAACAGAGCAGAAAGAATTACGGTATGTAATCGTCAAAATTTGAATAGATTTCTGACCTGCAAATGGAACTGGAGCTGAAAAGATATTGTCCACTGGGCAGGAGCAGGGCTGGCAAAGATGGACGGTTAAGGAAAGGCACCACTTTTTCTGTAATTAAAGAGAAAGACAGATGAAGCTTTTCATTAGACAATGTTTACAAGGAAGAAAGGAAGGAAAGTCAGTCCTTGGTTCCTAAAATTTGTAAAAGTAGAATGTGAGGCAGAGCTTTAAGTCATCAGGCTCCTCTCTTCTGGAACAACCTCCAGTTTCTGTCCATGAGGCTGACTACTTTTAAACACAGGTTTAAGACCTTTTTTTGATAAAGCCTACAATGTGAGGTCTTGTTTATTCACTTGTGATCCAGGCAGCTTTCAAAATGGAAAAGTTAACTCAAAAGAAATATAAGCCACATGAGTTAATACTTTACCTGTTAGTCATGCAATAATTACTGATCTTGAGGAGGTTTTATTTTAATCTATTATCAGGACAATCATACACTGGTTTGGATAGGTTAAAATCACCAACAAAAAAAAAATACAAAACAAAACAGGACTTAATGTCTGCAGTCAAGACAAACCAATAATTTAAGTTGAATACAACATGACCTACTTGCTAAGAAAAACAGATCATGTGAATGACAGAGCATTTGTTTACCCAACCATGTTATCAGGTTCAAATCCACCTAACACACTGAATAAAAACTCATCCTTTTCACACACAATGACAAAGTGGGTCAAAATAAATGTACTGTAACAACCACGTATGAGTATTATTTATAGTATAATACTTAATGAGTACTATGTATTAATACAAGCCAAATCACTGACAACCATACATAGTGTGAGATAATTGTGACATTTATCATATAAGGTATTGAATTATAGAAGACACTATGTGTTCAGATTTAGTTTGTAAGCATGTTATTCAAAACTGCATGGGTATACTGAACCTATAGCTAAACAAAAACATGAATCAGAACAAACAATACTAAAACAAGGCAAACACAGCAGTTATAGAAGGTAAAAACGTCCTCCAGTAGTTTCCGTAAACACAATGAATGTTCATTCATTCTGACCTCGACAGACTGAGCTAGCTAGCTAACCAGCTAGTGCTATCAACCTTTACAACATTCGGGACACGATAAAAAAAAATACAAATACTAATGTTTTGCTAAACGATGTCTGTCATTAAACTTAATTACACTTAAATTCACAGAATAAAACGTGAAGCTGACCATGCTGTCCCACCTTCGTGGTTGACGTACTGAACACCGCACTGAAGTCCTGTCACTTCCAGCGCAGCTAACACTTTCAGGCAATGCGGGTTGCCTTCGCTTACAAACAGCTTCATCTGGCCGGTGGCAGCTCCTTTTGATATAAAACACTTTACGGAGACTTAGCTACTTGTGTTTTACACGCAGCTTCTCTGGTAAAAACCCAGGTGACAGTTACTAACTTTGCCGGCGAGTGCTGCTCATGCTGATGCAAGCAGTGTTCGCTCTGTCAAAAATGGTGTAAATGTAGTTTTGAAGCTGTTTCTGTGTCCCTACCAGAAACGGAGTCTGTCTGGTTAATGGACTACATTTCCCAGAAACCTTTTCCAAATAAGTAAGGAAAACGTTTGGTGGATGGCTCGTTCTGAATTTTTTTACCAGGACGGGCGGGCGGAACTAGTTTTATGTGTGTAAATAGTATACCGGGTGATGTTGTGAACTAAAACACGCGTACCCTGCTGCTGCAGTTTCGACAATCTGATTGGTTCTGTGAAAAATTCTATTTCCCGAGTGTAGCCAATCACAGAGCACAAAACCCCACACAGCTCAAGCTATTTTCTATCCGCTTAAAGTGAGAGGAGGGGTTCTGTCACCATAGGATGGAAAGGTAACTAGTTCCCACGAGTTATTGTTAATTTGAAGGGAAAAAAAAGTGCACAGCGGAGTTTTTCCCTGTGCTTTGCATTGATCCAATTATGTAAATTTCTTTATACCAAGGAGATAAGCGCGGCAAATTATTCAGACATAAACGCAAATTAATCTACAGTTCACTCCATAACAAACACAACAGAGCTGTCACCACGCACGTCGCTGCAAGGTGAGTAATGCCTCAAAGGGAAAGATGTTAAGATGTTATTTGTTTTATTAAATATGTATGCAACACACAGTCCTCTGTGTTCATCCTTTAATCTTCTGTACGTTTAAAGAAAAATAAATCAATCTGTTATTACAAAGTTTTTTGTTGATGTTTTAAAAATACCAGTTTAAATAGTTTTCTCACAACTTAAACAGAGTAAGACAGATGTAACTTTTCAGAATGCATTTTTGTACCTATTTAATCTGTTGTTTTGCACAATAATATCTGCCTTTTTAAAAGTTTTATTGTTTTAATTTGATTGATTAGGTTACATTTAGAATGCTTCATGAAGCAAACAGTATTAATATCTGCATAACAAAGTGTATGGGAATATTTTTGAGCATGTGTGTTTTAGGCCGAAATTAGTCATTTAGGTAATCTCTGTCATTTAGTTCTTACAAATATGGTTACGGTGAGAGCAGCAATAAGTTTTTTTTTTTCAAAACAGTTTTTTTCCATGTCGTAAGTTTCAAACTGTATCACAAGTGCTAACCCTTTGAAAATAAGCCACAGAGGGCTGGTTTACCTCCAGTCACTTCCTGTAAAGGAGCGCCTTTCTACTTTTTAGTTTCCTGTTCAAACTTTCTTTATAAAAGCATATTTGTTTGTTTTTTTACTTTTAATTGTTTTGTATAGGTTGCTGTTCCAACTTTTGCACAGTACTTATTCACTACAATGCTGAAGAAACAACTAGCTCATTATTTTTGTCTTCTTTTATATAGTTGCTTTAATAACAAAACTGCATATTCAGTGGTTAACTATTTGCACACAAATGCATGCAAAATAGCCTTTACCGGCATACGGACAGGTTAACCACAGGGCTAGATGGAAACAGTTTGACTGACTCACTGCATTTCTGCATTTCTGCTGTTTCATAATCATTCTTATGTTTGTGCAAAAGCAGATTTTCTCTGTCTTTGTCAGCCTGTGTCGACACAAGCTTGAAAGATTATTGCCATTTGCAACTTTTCTGATTAAAGTGCCTTGTACCTCAAACGGTATTAGGCGGAGTTACAAGTTAACCATAGCTATTATACTCACTGATGTGTGACGCTGGTCTGAGGGAGATAGTGAGAAGTGTTTAACAGGGTGATGTTTTTGGTCAGATTAGATGTGTGGCTGCTATACTCTTGGCGAAGGAAAGTCGTAGTAATAAAATGCAACAAAACCTTGTCTAAGCTTTGTGCTTTGTACTGTTCAGACGCAAAGATTAACACAGCACAACTTGGGCCTGTGTACAGTTTTGATGTTAATTCTGATATATTTGTCACTCTATATGAGTACTTTTCAAAAAGGCCAGAACCACTATTCTTTTTTTTATTTTGTTAATCCCAAATAACAGACTGTCTCACATTCCCTGAAGTTTTACTTGATCAGCAGCTCTTCAAGCTTTCCAGAATCCTTTCAAAGTATTTTTAGGACTTCCTGACCCATTTTTTTAGACTCACTTATCTGAAGTCGCTCGTCACTGGCCGAAGAGATGAATCGCTGTCGCGTTGACCCTTAACTGACAAATTTAGCTAAGAAAAATCAAAGCTGAGGCTTTAGTTAGCTGCGGCTTGTGGCAAAACGTGTCACTGTCAATGTCAAATTTATTTATATAGCACATTAACAACAAAAGCTGACCAAAGTGCTTCACAGTTCAGTCAAGACATCAAAAAAACAAACAAATAATGGATGCAAATACAGAAACACAGTATGAAAAAAGCTCTAACTGAACCTCCAAATCTTAAACATAAGCCAAAGAAAATAAATGGGTCTTCAGCAAAGATTTAAAAGCCTCAACAGTCTCTGCTGACTGAATATTAAGAGGTAAACTGTTCCACAGCTTTGGAGCAGCTATTACAAAAGCCCGGACACCTCTAGATTTCAGTTTGGATCTAGAAACATCTAACAGGAACTGGTTGGTAGACCTGAGTGCTCTGACTGGAGTGTAAATGTTAAGAAGATCACATAAATGTGACGGGGCCAGACCGTTAAAAACTTTAAAAGCCATCAATAAAATCTTAAAATCAATTCTCAGGTGAACAGGAAGCCAATGGAGAGAAGCCAGGACCGGGGTTATGTGTTCATGCGTTTTAGTACCTGTTAAAAGAATAAAAGTTAAAAATGAAACTGGACATCAACTACCTTCCTCTAAAACTCATAACGTCAGTGCAGGACATTGGTCTTTAACAGAAGTCATCCATGTTGAATATTTCTATTAAAGCAGTTCATAATTTACATATTAATTACAGTAAAAAATCCCTTTAATGTAATGTTTAAGGTTAGACTCACTGAATAGAAAAAATAAAGTAATAAAACTCACTTTTTCTTTTAGGGAATGTTTTGTCCTGCTTTTTATTTTTATTTCGTAAAGCCTGGTAAAACAGTGGCGATGTATAAAAACTTCAAAAACAAGAGGATTTGCAGCTTTTCTTTTATCGTGTATTTCTGTAAACTTTAGAGAGAGACTCCAGGTACTTTAATGAACAGCAGGTTCCAGTGCTAACTACTTCAGCTGATTTGTTAAATATCTGACATGCTGTAATCCTTGTTATTTGAGTGATGTTGCTTTATTGCTTCATTGAACAAATAACCTCTTCAACCCTCAGGGGAAATCAGAGGGTCTGTCTGTGTATTCATGCCTCTCCTCTCAAATGTTTGCCTGTGGAGGTTTGGCTCTTTTTCCTTGAGCCTCGGCTCTGCACTCACTTGGGCTGCACGCAGCTGAAAGTGGGTCTTCGACTTGCCTGATAGCTTTTGACAGCTCACTCTCATCCCTGCTGGATCAATGGAGCTCAGCGCTCTTCATTGGAAACATCAATGTACTGCACATTCCCACAGGCTCAGCAGCAACCCACCAGCCCAGCCAGGGAAAACTGATATATATTTGATTCTATATAAGATCAGTCATGACTTGTGTGCTACGTTTTTTTTATTTTCTTTAGGTGGAGGCAAGAGTAATCGCTTGCTTGGAAATCACAAATGGGTGATTAATGGGCAATATTTATAATAATGCTGTCTAGGCAAAATCTTTCATGTGAAATGAAACCAAAGATTAGTGTTTTTTTTTTTATTTGAACTGGAGTGAATGCACATTATTGTTGTACATCCTATTCCTTTTGCTCCACACACACATACTGTAATGTGTGAAGTCTATCTCTCCCTGTTTCTCTCTTTCTCCCACTGATTTCATCTTGAGAATAATGTCAAAGATAATATTACAGATTGTGTTTATTAGTGCTAAAATAATTTATTGCGTTAAATAGTTGATCAAAGCATGAAATTCCACAAAATGTTCATACAAAAATTACAATAATTTGCAGTTTCTTCCATTTTCAGTTGTAAAATATTAAGTTGCATAATATTTTACTATGATAATAATAATGAAATCTAAATATTTAATTGGCTTAGCAGTACAATAATAACTCAGCATGGCTCCCAAAGTAACGTGGGACCAACAGTTTGTGCTGTTTCTTTTATGTAAGCGCAACTGAAATAACAAGCACAAGCTCATTTCTCACACTGAAATAAGCTCATTACGTTTAAACAGTCACACGGCGTGTTATTCACCTTTCTTTTTTTCCTGTAAAATTCACAAGCTAATTTAAAAAAAAGAAAAAGTAGTGCTTGAATCAATTCTTTTAAGAGATTAAAATACCTCCCGGACAATCCTGCTGTAATTTGCCCAAAGGTGGAAACACGGGTCCTTCTGGTTTGTTTTTTGTTGAATTTGAAAAAGGAAAAAAAAAACTTGAATATAATTGAAGTTAATTCGGAGGAAGTTTTGCTGTGTGTCGATGGGAGCTTCAGGATTCATTGTAAACACAAGTATTGCGTCAGCAGTCTCTTGAAATGATGGCATCACACATGTGAAATATTAGTATGTGCAGCGAGGAGAAAAATAACATGGCAGAGACACTGGTGATGGCAGCTGGTCACAGAGGTTGTTGTCACGATGGCAGTAATGAGTCTGAGCCAATGGCTGCCTCGCTGTCATCATCTGCTTTTTGATTGGCTCGCTGACAGTTTACTCGTCTAATCACCGGAAGAATCCACTCTACCTGTTCAGTAACATATGTGGACTCACACACACACATGCATCCTCACACACACTCAGCGGCCAAACGCCACACAGGGAAACTCAGTGTGTATTTCAGAGTGTCTCTCTGGTCCTGTCATCAATAATGCATGACTTTGGGAGGATGAAAGGCTGTTTTGGCTTCAGGCATGCGTCTCGTATGGAGAGAGAGACATCATTGCTAGCAGTTATAATTGTACATCCACAAAGTGAACGCTTCGTCACACGGATTTTTCTGTCTGTAGAGCTGTTCGTTAGACTGACAGTGGACTTGTTTTCGGCTTGAATGTATATTGAGGTGTTTTCTATTCTCGTTGTCTAATTTGAGGACCTAAGGATAAAGAGAAGTAAAAGGTATCATTATTGTAATGGAGTCAGTGCAACAGAACCATGCTGTGTTAGTGGACATAAGTCAGCCGTAACAATCTTCCCTTGGGAAAACCTGCACCTGTCTTAACATCTGCGGACATTGAAGCCTGGGTAAACAACCTAGACTCTCAGACATACTGTATGTTTTAGAACATTCTTAAGGAGATCATTTAGATGTTTTTTTAAATAAAGGTCTATAAAGTTATTATCCACTGTCATTATCTTACGTGGCGTAGAGAAATGTAAGCTTCATCTTAGCTTAGATAACAGTCAAGTTAACGCCCTACTTTGAAACAGATTTCAGTTAACTAAGAAGAAC